GCGGGCCCCGAGGACCCCGGCTTCAGCGGGGGGCACTGTGGCTTCCTCCCTGGGGTGGTGTGTCGCTCTGACACGTTGGAACCGCTTTGCCGTGCACAGGGGGCCCCCCAGGAGTTCCAGCAGCGACCCCGACTTCGTGGTGGTGGACGGTGTGCCCGTGATGCTTCCGTCGTACGACGAGGCCGTGAGCGGCGGCTTGAGTGCCTTAGGCCCCGGTTACTGGTTTTATGCCCCCTTGTAAAAATGGAAGCATGGAAAGAGGCTGACAGAGATAGAAAAAATGACTGACAATAGTAGAAGTGAAAAGTCAGAGACCTTACAAAGGAAAATAGGAAACATGGGGGCCAGGGCTGCCCCTTGCCCGTGGATGACCAGAGCCCCCCGGCCTACCCCGGCTCCGGGGACACGGACACCGGCCCCGGGGAGTCAGAAACCTGTGACAGCATCTCGGGCTCCTCCGAGCTGCTCCCGAGTCTGTACCCATCCCCCACGTGCCCAGGGGGCACCCGTCCTGCTTCCGACAACAACCCCAGCACGGCGGCCAGCACGGCGGGGGAGGTGGCATCCACCAGCCCGGGCATCGACATCGCAGACGGTAAGTGTTTGCCCCCGGGCCCAGCACGCACCCCGCACCGGCTCCCAGCATCTTCGGGCAGCACAGAGCTGTCCAGCTCTCCCTGCACGTGGAGGCCATGGGCAAGGCCAACTAGGAGAGGAGGGACTCGTCTCACAAGGGATGAGCCCCGTTATGGACATTTCAGGAGGCACCAGGGGCACCCAGCCACCGTCCAGAGCAGGAAAGCTCGAGTGGCCGGTCCTTGGTTCTCAGAGCATCCTCTGACCCCGGGTGCTGGCCTCCTCGGTCCCTTAACTCAGCAGGACTTCTGAGAGCGGGGCCTGGGAGGCGGGCAGCACCCACCTGTGCCAGGAGGGGAGTCGCAGACGGGCGCCGTGGGGCAGGGCTGGGGACGTTCTGTGCCCACGCGGGGCATTTTCCCGAGGCGTGGGGCGGGATGTGTGTGTCTGCCTGTCTCAGGACAGGTGGGCTGCGGCTCACAGTAAAGCAGGGACATGCGTCAGACTACAGAGGGCTGTGTCCCAGGGGAGGGGCACCGCTTTGCAAAGGAGACAGCCATTCCAGCGACAGTCAGTGGCAGTCACAATGTGGAAACGTGTTCCCCCGGGTCCCCCCAGGACTCTTTTCTGCAGCTCCTGCCGCCTCTCTGTGCCTGGAATGGTCGCCTCTTGGCATGAGCGTCTGGGCACATGGCTCACATCCAACGTTTTCATTTCCACGAGCTGGTCTGAGACTCTCCCGCACATAGCTGTGACATGGAGGAGTTGGGCTTTTGATTGCTCACTGATCGGTGGGACTCGGCCTTTTCTTCTCCTCCCTGGGTGGGGACTCGCAGGCAGTCTGATGGCAGCCTGTCATCGTGGGGTGTAGGGCGTGGGGTGCAGTAAGTAACAGCCATCTCCTCTCGCAGAGATCCCGCTCATGGAAGAGGACCCGTAGCCCAGAAGGAGCTCCCAGGCCCAGCACTCCAGCTGCCCCTTTGGGAGCGGAACCCGGTCCCATGGAGGGAACCACAGAAGGACAGAGCGTGGGGTGGGGGCGCGTTCTCCTCTGTCCACGACTCACGTCGTATGTCACAGACTCAGCAGGGGGTGTTGGACACGGCCCCACGACGGCGGCAGACCTTTGACCTGGGGCCTGCGGGTTTGCCGAGACCACGGGGGAACCGAGGGATGAGGGGAGCCCCCCGCCCCCGTGTGTGTGCTGGGGAACAGAACGCAGTCCACGCACGGGCCACCGGATCCCGCATCCCACCGACGTATGTCACGCGTGCCACCTGCGTCTCCCGAAAGCATGTCACATTGTGTAAATCCGCTTCCACATCTGCTTCCAACCCTCCCTGGATCCCCCGTGAAGCTGATGGGCCTCGAGGGGAAGCCTGGGTCCGGCTGCGGGAAGAGCAGCAGCGCGCCCCCTGGAGGCGCCCCATGGGAAGGTGCTCCGACGGCTCCCCGACAATCTTCCTGGATCTGGCGGTTTCTACTCAGCGAGACTAAAGCTCCCGCAGACCCAGCAAGAAGGAAAGGAGAGGAAGGGCGGGCAGGCTCTGCTTTCTGGAAGCTTCTTCGGAAAGGAGAGCCCATGTCCTGCGTGCTGTCCTTGGGCGGAGTCGCGTGGCGGGGTGTGTTCACGGCCGGGTACCTGGGTCCCTGGCAAAGGATCAGTCCTATGACTCTACCAACGGCCAGAATGTGTCCTGATACATCCCCTGGCAGCGAGGTTTTAAAGAGATTCCGCTGGACACTGTGCCACGAGCCCTCAACTGTTCTGAGTGTGGCCCTCAGTCCCAAGCTTAGCCATACTCTATTTCCCGAACAGGAATTGTTTCTGTCAACACATCCCTCCTCCCAATAAAGTGTGAGGTTGGATTTATTTATTTTCCCCTTTTATTTGGTCCTGCAAAGTCCGCGGGCAGGCCTCCCAGCCCACAGACGGCTCTGCCCTCCCCTCTGGCTGCCTCGCCCACCTGCCCACCCTGCCCGCCTACAACGAGGGCTCCCGGCCGGCGCCCACTGGCTGTGGTGCC